AAATCTGGCAAGGTCCAGATCTCCTGCCCCACCTTCTAACATAGTTTTAGATTTTTAGCTGCAGGAGACTATCCCTTGTGGAAGATCCTTTCTTTCTCCTCTGAGAAGCTTTCTTTTAGGAAAATCTTCTCCCTCTGGGAGGCTAGCCCCTAACTCTTAAACTCAGGACTACCTCCAAAGTAACTGTCAAGGTTGGAGAGTTCCATTCTCAGGGTTTTTTTTTTTTACTTGAGCTAAGAAGCAGAAAGACAGAAGAAGGTGGCCAGGACCTGGAGGTCCAGAAACTTCCTTCTTAGACTCACCTGGAGAAAGCATAAGCCATTTCTTCTGCACTTCTCCTATGAGTCACTATTTTTTGCTCCTGAGGATGGGGGCACCCACTACCCTCTTGTTGCACTCTTGGGAAAACAAAGGAGAAAGTGCACAAGAGAGGGAAAAGATAGAAGGGATAGGCCTTTTCACAGTTCACTCTTTGTTGAACATTTATTTTTCAGTTAACAAGTATTTGCATTTTTTTCACTCCCACCCTCCTACTCCATTAGAAAAAAAGAAAAATAAGACAGTTGTAACAAATGGCCAAGTGTGCATGGTCAAGCAAAACAAATTCCCCCATTGACCAAGTCCAAAAATAAGTCAATCACTTTTCTGTCAAGAGTTAGGTGGCATTGTCATTGGTTCCCAGCATTGCATTGATCAGATTCTTAAGTCTTTCAAAGTTGTTTTATTTTAGATGATTGCAGTCATTGTACTAGTTTCTCTTCTGGTTCTGCTCACATCACTATGTATCAGTTTATACAAATCTTCTCAGGTTTCTCTGAAACTGTCTTTTCTTACAGAATAATTTTATTCCATTACATTAACATACCATAATTTGTTCATCCATTCCCTAGCTGAGAGGAACCCCCTTTGCTTTTTTTTTTTTTTGGCTACAACAAAAGCAACTTCTATAAATATGTTTATACATACAGATCCTTTTCCTCTTTCTTTGATTTCTAGCAGTGGTATTTCTGGGTCAAAGAGGCACAGTTTAGTACTTTTGGAACAAAGTTCCAAGTTTCTTTTCAGCATGGCTGGGCCAGTTCACCAATTCACAGCTCTAACAAAAGTATATTAACATGCCTGTTCTCCTGTAGCACCTTCAGTATTTATCATTTTCCCTTTTTGCCAGTGTTGCTAATCTGATTGGTAGGATGTGGAGCTTTAGAGTTGCTTTAATTTACATTTCTCTAGTTATTAGTGATGGAGCATTTTTTCATATAGTTGTTGATAACTTGGATTTCTTCCTTAGGAAACTGCCTGTTCATATCCTTTGACAATTTGTTAATGGTGGAATGGCTCTTATTCTTGTAAATTTGAATCTGTTTCTTATATGTCTTGGAAATGAGACTTTACTACTCACTCAGAGGGGCTGGCTTTTCCAACAAGAGTCTATCTTCCTGAGTCTCAGGGATCAGGAGATAGTCTCAATCTCTAAAGCCCAATCAGTGTACAAATCTACCTCCTCTGGAGGTCCCCTCTAAACAAAAGCTATTGGCCCATGATCTTATATAGTCATTTGTGGGCAATTCCTCAAATTGATCAGTATCTCCCTTGATTAACCTCCATTACATACAAATGAGGACACCAATGATTGGAAAAGTAAAGATACTTGTCACATAGATGTTTAGTGAACTAGAATTTACATCTCCTATTCCACTGTTCTTTCCACTAAATGCTACCTTCTTGTAACATATAACTCTATCATATTTCAGTTCTACAAAGTCCAGTGATAATTTCTCTAAAGCAACCCATCCTGCAGCCTGGTTGAGAAAATGCTTCTTAGTCCTCTGTAAATTTGAATAACCTAAACAACTGAGAATCCCAAATTTGAATGAACCACACTAATTTGCTGAACCTCAAACTGATTCAAAATCTAACATTGATTTTTGTTAAAGCTGAACCACAAGTCAAATTAAAGATCTTAAAAAAATAAATAAGCAGACCAGTCGAAATCTGGACTAAATATATTTTCTGTAACTATTGCGCTGAAACAAAAAAAAATTTATTATTTTATTTTTTTTATTTATTTATTTACTTATTTTTTCAATTAATTAATTTATTTTTAGGCAATGGGGGTTAAGTGACTTGCCCAGGGTCACTCAGCTAGGAAGTGTTAAGTGTTTAGTCTGAGGCTAAACAAAAAACATTTTAAACAAACCAAATTGTATTTCCTTTGTTTGAAGTCCCTGACCTAACCCTATGGGGCCTTATCATGAGGTAGAAAAAGCAACCATGTTCTGGTGTGATTTCAGAGGCAGCGATGTCACTTTGCTCCCCAAATACCTACTCCATTTGCTCAGTGATATATGAAATTTCTCTTAAAAGGGGCAAAACCAAAATTCCACAATCAGAGATAAAGCTTAAAATGTAAACACTCCTAGGACAGGAGTGGGAAAATCACTTTACCTCTCTAACCCTCAGTGTCTTCATCTATAAAAAGTGAGGAATGTAACAAAATTTCTTAATCTATAAAATGGGGTATCATAATAAATTATTCCAATCAAGTATCACAGCCTATCTTGACACTGGGCATTGATAAAAATGGAAGGGAGGAATCATGGATGTGTAGAGTTCTTGAAAGTATAGGTGGGGAGAAGAAGGATTATGGGCTGAGACAGCACTACACAAAAGTTAGTTTGAGAACACTAAAGAAAAACATCTAGTTTACCACTTTGCTTTGTTAAACTCAACATGATTAAGCAGAATATAGAGGGCAAAGAAGTCAAGTGAGATGGAAGTCTCAAAATAATGAGCCTCTTTGTCTCTGGGGCCCTTAGAGATACTTGAAGGAGAAAGATCCAGGACCAGTAATTGATTGATGGCAGCAAGAAGGCAGGACACTGCTTTAGCTTCATATCTCCCCTTCTAAGAAACTTCATGATTTTAGTGAATGGAGTTCTGCATGTGAGTTGGGACCCTGGCAGTTCAAAGACAAAGGGAAAGTCTTTGCTCTTCAATCAGCAGCACCATTTTCATATAGAGAATACTCTTATCAAGAGTTTAAATTAAGATTATAATCTCCTATATTAATTAGTTTTAGATAAACTGTCTTTTTGGGTAAATATATGGAAATTGGATTTGGAAACCCTATAGAAATGTTTAGGCTTGTGGGTATTTGTCAAGTTTAGAATAACAAAAGAGAAAAAAAATTTGAAAAAAAAAAAGGAACACTCCTTTAGCTGGCAATGGAGAGAGGTGAATTTAGTGCCTTGGTTTGGTCCCTTTTGGGCTTTATTCCAAGTACCTGGCACATAACAAGCATTAAATAAATACTTGTTGACTGACTGACTCCTATTTAAGGAATGATGCACCCAATTTCCCTAAAATCTGAAAGTTAACAAGGAGAAATAATCACAGATCTAGTTTCTAGAATAGTAGCCAACTGCTACAAAATGGCACATTTCTCTTTTGGTTCCTTGCATTCCATCATGTTAGCCTCAGCTCCCGGTGCAATGAATTCTCTATAATGTCCTTTGGGCTGCAAGAACTCACTATTCAACAAAATCTGCTGGAAAAACTGGAAAACAGTCTGGAAGAAACTAGACATAGACCAATATGCATACCATATACAAAGATAAGGTCAAAATGGGCACATGATTTAGACATAAAGAGTGATATCACAAAAAAATTAGGGGAGCATAGAAAAAGTGATCTGTCAGATCTATGGATAAGGGAAGAGTTCAAGACCACACAAAATAGAGATAGAGAGGATCACGGGAGGTAAAATGGGATAATTTTGATTACATTATGTTAAAAAAGGTTTTGCACAAACAAAATCAGTGCAGCCAAAATTAGAAGGAAAGTAGGAAACTGCCAGGGGGTGGTATTTACAGCAAGTTTCTCTGATAAAGGTATCATTTCTCAAATATGTAAGAAACTGAGACAAATATATAAAAATGAGAGCCATTCCTCCATTGAAAAATGGTCAAAGGATATGTGCAGGCAGTTTTCAGAAGAAGAAATCAAAACTATCAATATTCATGCAATATACTTTAAATCACTAATAATTAGAAAAAATGCAATTTAAAACAATTCTGAGGTACCACCTCACACCCATCAGATTGACCAACACAAGAGAAAAGTAAAAAGGCAAATGCCAAAAGGGAAGTGAAAAAAATAATAATTCACTATTGGTAGAGTTGTAAAGTAGTCCAGCCATTCTGGAGAACAATTTGGAACTAAGCCCAAAGGGCTATAAAGCTGTGTATACCTTTTGACCCTTTGACCAAGCAATATCTACTAGGTACATATCACAAAGAAACAAAAGGAAAAGGAAAAGGATACATATGTACAAACATTTATAGCAGCTCTTTTTATTGTGGCAAAGAATTAGAAATTGAGAGGATACCCATTTATTGGGAAATGGATAAACAAATTATGGTATGTGCTTATGATGGAATACTGTTGTGCTATAAGAAATAATGAGGGGGATGCTTTCAGAAAAACCTGTGAAGACTTATATGAACTGATGCAAAGTGAAATGAACAGAACTAGAAGAACATTGTACACAGCAACAGCAATATTGTAATGATGATAATCAATTGTGAAAGACTTAGCTACTTTGATTAATACAATGATCCAAGACAAGTCCAAAGGACTCATGATGAAAAATGCTATACAACTCCAGAGAGAGAACTGAGGGACTCTGATCAAAGATTAAATCATATTTTTTACTTTCTTTAGTTTTCTTGCCTATTTCCCCAACATAGTTAATGTGAAAATATGTTTTACATGAGTTATATGTATAATAGGTATCATACTTCTTGCCTTCTCAGAGGGTGGAGGGAGGAAGAGAATTTGGAACTGAAAATAAAAATTAAAAAAAAAAGATTCTTTGTGCTTATGGAAAACTGACAGTTGAACCCCACTTTACATATAGCTAGGATCAGAGACTATTTCCTGCTGGTTTCCTTCCTTGGCATCGTAATTCTTTCTCCTTTTTGTTTTATCCAAATTTCCAGGTGTTCAATTCTGACATCAATCAACATGCATTTGTTAAGCACCTGCTATGTGCTAGACACCATTCCAGGTGCTGAGAATACAGAGACAAAAATGAAAGTCCCTGCCCTCAAGGAGCTTATATTCTAATGACATCTTCTTGTCCTAAAGTTTACTGTTTTTCAGCAATTTTAGAGGTAAGCCTTTATTTGAAGATCTGAGATTAAAGTTGTCTTATTAAGGAGATTTGGGATATAAGAGAATATTAATGCATTTCTTCTGGGGAGATGGAAAGCTTTGGCTGTTGTTATTCTATAACTGGGGTTTTTGTTTACAGGTACAGGCAGGGTACTCCTGTTGTCACCTAAGTGTAAATAAGTGAGTTATTTCAGTCTTCTTTCAAATGTGCTTATGTTTAATTATAGGGATAAAAAGCAAATGAGAGTGTCTTAATAATGCAGTCTTGTGCCTTAACAAGACTCAGTACATCCATAAGTATATGTCATATCAAATTGTTTACTGTTTCTGGGAGTGGACTGGTGAGGGAGGGAGAGAGAAAATTTGGAACTCAAAAAATTTTTTAAATGAATGTTAAAAATTGTCTTTACATGTAATTGGGGGAAAAAACCATTATTTTAAAAAAAGAATGTTTATGTCAGCTGGAGTTCTTTGTCATTGTCCCATTTAGTGTATGGAGGAGGCTGGGGAGGGGTGGGAGATAAGTGGAATCTTTGTTTAGACTTTAAGGCTCCTTCCTGTTTCATGCATTTCAGGCATTAGTGGTGACAAGGTCCAACTATATCATTGCCACATTCATTCAGGGTAGTCAAAAAAAGAATTTCATTTCCTTAGACCTACTGCTTTCTAAGAATTTCATTAACAATGTGTATGTTGAGGGCAGAGCCAAGATGATGGAGTAAAAGTAGTGACTTGTTTGAACTGTCCTCCAAACCCCTCCAAATACCTATAAAAAATGGCTCTAAACAGATTCTAGAGCAGCAGAACCCACAAAAAGACAGAGTGAAACAAATTTCCAGCCCAAGACAACCTGGATGGTTGATTGGAAAGGTCTACTGAGCTCAGTTCAATGTTGGCCGTACAAACAAAGATAGGGCCTCAACAAACCTGAAGCAGTCCTCAGGGGACTGAATCAAGGGGAGCTGTGTCAGTTTCTAGACTTCTCAACCCACAAACATCAAAGACAGCTTAGAAGGTTAGTAGGAAAGGTCGGTGATTGTGGTGAGAAAGGAGCTTGGTTTGGCTCTAGTCCCAGCGCAGCCCCAGGGTGGTGGCTGCTTCCAGAGCTCTTGGTCTACAGACAGAGGGGGGATCGAGCAGCTGCTCAGAGGGGGATTGCAGGGATTTCTTTGCTAGTGCTCAGGCAGGATTCTCTTGCTTTGCCCATGCTTAGATCTGGGTCACAGTCCTGGGTAGCGGTCCTGGGGCAAGGAGGAGTGTTGGCATGGTGGAGCTTATGTGGCAGTAAAGACAGAATCCTCCTCACAGTTACAAGGCAGAAAAGAGTGCTTGTGGTCATTCGTAGACCAGAGGACAGGCCAGGAAAGGAGTAAACACCTCTCCTTTGATCATACCACCTTGGAAGAACTGAAAATTTACAGGTCCCTAGAAGTATCTCTGAAAGTAGCTGCACAAACCTCCCAAATCTTGGGACAGTACATTCTCCACACCAGAAGCAGAGGTCTACCTTAACAAAAAGTTAAAAAGACAAATTATTGGCTGGGATAATGAGCAAACAGTGCAAAAAAGTCAGACCATAGAATCTTATTTTGGTGACAAATAAGATCAAAACATATAACCAGAAGAAAACAACAAAGTCAAAGCTCCTACATGCAAAGCCTCCAAGAAAAATATGAATTGGTCCCAGGCCATGGAAGAGCTCAAAAAGGATTTTGAGAAGCAAGTAAGAGAAGTAGAGGAAAAACTGGGAAGAGAAATTAGAGTGATGTAAGAAAATCATGAAAAACTAGTCAACAGCTTGCTAAAGGAGACCCAAAAAAATACTGAAGAAAATAACACCTTAAAAAATAGCCTAACCCAAATGGCAAGAGAGGTCCAAAAAGCCAATGAGGAGAAGAATGCCTTAAAAAGCAGAACTGGCCAAATGGAAAAGGAAGTCCAAAAGCTCACTGAAGAAAATAATTCCTTAAAAATTAGAATGGAGCAAAATGGAAGCTAGTGACTTTATGAGAAATCAAGAAATCATAAAACAAAGCCAAAAGAATGAAAAAGTAGAAGACATTGTGAAATATCTTATTGGAAAAACAACTGACCTAGAAAGTAGATTCAGGATAAATAATTTTAAAATTATTGAACTACCTGAAAGCCATGATTAAAAAAAAAAGAGCCTAGACATCATCTTTCAAAAAATTATCAAGGAAAACTGCCATGATATTCTAGAACCTGAGGGTAAAATAGAAATGGAAAGAATCCACTGATCACCTCCTGAAAGAGATCCCAAAAGGAAAACTCCTAGGAATATTAGAGCCAAATTCCAGAGTTCCCAGGTCAAGGAGAAAATATTGCAAGCAGCCAGTGGGAACACAGTCAATATAACAAAAGATTTAGCAGCTTCTACATAAGGGACTGGAGGGCTTGGAATATAATCTTCCAGAGGTCAAAGGAGATAGGATTACAACCAAGAATCACCTACCCAGCAAAACTGAGTATAATCCTTCAGGGGAAAAATGGATATTCAGTGAAATAGAGGACTTTCAAGCATTCTTGATGAAAAGACCAGAACTGAATAGAAAATTTGAATTTCAAATACAAGACTCAAGAGAAACATGAAAAGGTAAACAGGAAAGAGAAATATGTATTTTTTTTTTGGTCTAGGCAATGGAGTTAAGTGACTTGCCCAGGGTCACACAGCTAGTAAGTGTTATGTGTCTGAGGTCAGATTTGAGCTTAGGTCCTCCTGAATCCAAGGCCAGTGTTCTATCCACTGAGCCACCTAGCTTCCCCAGGAAAGAGAAATCTTAAGGAACTTATTAAAGTTGAACTGTTTACATTCCTAAGTGGAAAGATGATATTTGTAACTCATGAGACCTGTGTCAGTATTAGGGTAGTTGGAGAGAAAAAATATGTGTATAGATGGATAAATGGATAGTTGGAGGGAAGAGGGTGAGTTGAAGATGAAGGGGTGATAACTGGAGAATAAAATTAAGGGGTGAGAGAGGATTATACTGGGAGAAGGACAAAGAGAGGTAGAATGGGGTAAATTATCTCACATAAAACAGACAAGAAAAGGCTTTTACAATGGACGGGAAGTGGGGGAAAGGGAGAAGGAATGAATGAGTCTTATTCTAATCTGGATTTGACTTAAGGAGGGAATAACATACACACTCAATTGGGTATGGAAATCCATCTTACCCTAGAGGAAAACAGGAGGGAAGGAAATAAGACAGCGGGGATGATAGAAGGGAGGGCAGATTGGGAAGGGGGTAATCAGAAGCAAACACTTCTGAGAAGGGACAGGGTCAAAAGAGAGACTAGAATAAACCAAGAGTGGGATAGGATGAAGTGAAATACTTAGTTTTCCACAGCATGACTACTATGGAAGTGTTTTACATGACTACACACGTATAACCTGTGTCAAGTTGCTTGCCATATCAATGAGGGTGGATGGGGAGGGAGGAAGGGTGAACCCAAAGCTTTAAAAACAAATGTTAAAAATTATTTTTACATGCAACTGGGAAATATGATATACAGGCAATGGGGTATAGAAATCTATCCTGCCCTACAGGAAAATAGAAGGGGAAGGGGGTAAGAGAAGGAGAGGTGAGAGAAGGAGGGCAGATTAGGGGAAGGGTATTCAGAATGCATGCCATCTTGGGATGGAGGGAGGGATGAGATGGGGAGAAAATTTGGAACTCAAAATCTTGTGGAAATGAATGTTGACAACTAAAATAAATAAGTTAAAAAGAACAATGTGTATGTTGAGCGTCTGAGTAAACTAACCCTGTGAGTTGGGAGAAGTCCAAGACTTCTGTGTCAGAGTGAGATAATGAAGTAATTTTTATAAAATTGGGGGTAATACAGAGCCAGGGATGTGTTGGGAAGAGCAGGAGACTTATTACAATGTAAGTTTTGTTGATGTCATTTATCATTGTCACTAATTTGGTGAACACATCTGGTAATAAATGCAAAACTCTGAAGGGCAGGAGATATTCTAGTTATCATCTTCATACTTATTAATTTTGAGCATTGTGAAGGTTCCACCTTTGACCTTACGGTTCTCACTATCTTTTTTTTTTTGGCAAGGCAGTTGGGGTTAAGTGACTTGCCCAGAGTCACACAGCTAGTAAGTGTTATGTGTCTGAGGCTGGATTTGAATTCAGGTCCTCCTGACTCCAGAGCCGATGCTCTATCCACTGCGCCACTTAGTTGCTCTATCTTTGTAATGAAGCAACCAGGTCCTCCTTTTAAAATGGTTTTACACACACACACACACACACACGCACACATATACATACATACATATTTGTATGTATACATATTTGTGTCTAGTGGTAGCCATCTCTAGGATGGGTATGGGATGGGGGGGAGGGAAGAAAAAAAAAGAAAGTTTCATGATAACTTTATTATATATTTAAAAGGAATAGCAAGTTGTACATAATAAATTTGCGGTTTCCTGTACACTTATCTTTTTATACTATTATACTATGTTATTATGGAAATTCTTGTTTTATTTCTTAAATTCAGAATAAAATAAAAAATAATAATGTAATCTTAAAAGTTTGATCACAAAGTGGTAGGGCAAGGAGGCAGCCACTCTGATTTCTTTCTATATAAATTTTATATTTTACAAATGCACAATATGAACTATATTCCCTACATGTATTTAATATACTTATGGTACACTAAAATGATAAACAATATGCTTCAGAAAAAAAAGGAATGAGGCCAAGGTACTTTTTTGCCTTTACCCTTAGAGTTTTTGCCTCTTTTCTAATTTAGGAAGCACAAAACAGTGAAAATAAGTGTTTGATTTGAGAACCCAAGTTCAAATTCTGATTTTGTTATTTGATCTCTGTATG